AAACTACTGATATACAAAAGATATGTGGTAAGATTGCCAATTAAAAAAAAATATTTACCAAAGTGAATATGACGTAGATGTAAGGCGTTTTTGAATCAAACTTTATAGGAATATTTTTTAGATTATCCTTTACCAAATTATATAAATGATATCAGTTGATTTTAAAATATATGGACATTAATCGGGTCTTCATCCAGAACAGGTGAAGGTGAACACTTCAGGCACTTGATGACATCTAGATTTTAGAAGTATAATCAGCACATGAAGATGATCCAATAAAGGCAACAGTAGTATACCGCTGTTCAATAGTCATAAATCGATTAAGCGAAAACAAATTCGGGTCACTGACCAAAACTGAAAGAAACACATCAACTTTAGGTGGAAAACAATGAAACAACAGAAACACTGAACTGCTACAAAAAACAAACGCCAACATACATAGAAAAGGACTATTTCATAACAACTGCCATATTCTTGACTTGGTATAGGACCTTTTAACCAACTGCAATTTTAAGACATTTATAGTGCAATTTTAAATACATTTATACTGCAATTTTAAGACATTTATATTAATTGCAATGTAGTCAAATGATATACGTCCATATGCATGCATATTAACTTTGTAATAGATAAGTCTTTGAATGAAGATAACACAATTAATTTCGTGCCTTCTAGCAGTTTTACTGAACTACTTTCATCAAAAACGATCAACCCAAAACATTTGAAAACCAGGGATGTTAAAGACCTAAACACGTTAAGATCTATATAACTAAACAAGGAAGTAGATATAAGAAGATGTGGTATGAGTGCCAATGAGACAACTCTCCATCCAAGTCACAATTTGTAAAAGTAAGTTCAACTTTGCCCGACGGAGTAATCGGAGATGCAGAGTCAATTTAATGTCAAATGCAGGTCAGGATGACCTGTAAGCAGTTGCCCTGTGCTATACCCCATTTCCATTCTCAATTTTATATGAGGAGAATTATACAAGAAATATCATATAAAAAGGACTTACTGAAATAAATGCAAAATTTCACCAAATTGCTATGAAAATTAGACTCAATGTGTCCTAATTGTCTGAACTTTGTTTTAATACAAATATTGATACCTTAATTACTAAAATATATTCTACATAGTTTGATATATACACCTATGCGTAGAAGTGATTTTGTTTTACATATGTACTACTTTCTAGTATGTTCTTTTTTAACCGGGCCCGATTTGATGGTGTTATATCTCACAAAGACTATCCGAATCATTTTGAAAAGAATTCCGCTCAAACCGGTACTGGGACCGTCTTCAATTGGCAATGCGGTGAGAGTTTTTTACTCCGTGTTTAATTCTTCACTGTGATTTTTAGATGAAGAACAGCAATAAATGCTCTGTTTCTTTGTGTTGTTGTTTTTTTTTTTTTTTTTTGCTGTGCATGTACTGATTTTGTGTCATGGATTAATGCCAAATATCCTTTGTTTTTCTATTAAAGAAACTTAAATATACCTAACCTCAATGTGAAAGTCGTATTGGTAGGCTTATAAACCTCCAATTACTGAATGTGTTTACACAGTTTATTGAAAGTCGGTTGGAATACACATCGTTTCCACACGTTTGCGTATTACTTACATAACAGCTGTTTCGTTAATTTGTTGCGAGGGATAGTAAAATACTTAACATCACGACAGGTTCAAACTGCAAGTGCATTTATTTCATATTTAAAAATATCATTTTGTTTTAACTACTACTATTTTATCGATCATTATAATTATTCATTTTTGTTTGTAAAAGTTTGATTGATCAGCTCAAATTAATGGTTGTAATAAAATTTTCTAGTCTATATAGGAAATCCAGGATATTAAAATGTGTGGGATAGGAATTGTATACTTAAAATGCAAAGTGGCCGTGATAAGGGATTTTCCACTATTACTTGACAACAAAGATGAGAACCGTTTTTTTTTTATCAAAATGTTATAAATTACTATAAGGTTTGATAACTAAATAAGATATGACAGACATTGAAAATCATGCATATTTATTAGGGATGTCAACGAGTACTCGAGTACTCGAGTATCGCTCGGTAGTACCGAGTATCGATTACCAAAATGATACTCGACTAATCGGTTTCCTGTTAGAATGTAGTTACTTTCTTAAATTAAAAAAAAAAAAAAATTTTATTGAGAGCGCCGCCAGGGAAATCATATATTAATCAAAATTAATAAAAATTAAGATAAGATTCGAATGTTTGCTTTTGACTGTCATTTAGAATTCCTTCAAACAGAGGTACATGTAGGATATATGAGCAAGAGCATTTTTCCAAAGCTTACACTTTAAGCTAATCTTAGTCACTCCCCCACCTCTGTACCGTCATAGCATATATTTTTATTATCAGGACTGTAAGTTACATAACAAATTTGAGAAATCGCTACGTCCCAAAAAAAGTTGACAGGATAATACTTTTAGATAAGAACAAATTCGTTACACCCTGTATCGACCCTCAGAAAATGATTAATTGCATCAGTAAGTTCTAATCATCACCCCTTTGCTGATCATTAAATGTGTTTTTTTACGGTTCCCAAATATTGTTGTTTCAGTAATAAATTTTGTATAGATATTAATCCATTACTTGATTAGATTATTACCAGTTTACATAATTAGTAAATATATGTAGTAAATACAAATGAGCTATTAATTATGGTATAAAATTCCTTGGACTATTATCTAGTCCTAGGTAATAATGTTGAGGGTTTTACGATCCCAAGACAACGACCCACAAGACATACAATGGGTATAATTTTGTGTTTCCATTTTGTAAATATTTTACCGAGCGAGTACTCGAGTATCGCTCGGTAAATCCAACGAGTAATCGATTAGTAAATCTTCACCGAGTTGACATCCCTAATATTTATATATATATCATGTCTATGTGACTCCAGATGATAATTTCGTTCCATAAAACCAAAATAGTTTTCAATTCCACCCACATATTTATATATTTGTGTTTAAAGTTATAGATCTTCCTCAAGTCGTTGGTGATCTATACTTTAGTTAGGTAATTTTTCTAAACTGTATTTCAGCTTGTTATTGGAGAACGTTTAGAGAAATCTCAAATACCTTTTTGTTATTTTGTGGATGTGTCAATCCTCTATGTTTCCCCATTCTTTAATTGTAAAACACACCTTACACATGCTATATTTGTCGGTCGATTTTGAACTTAGATGAACGGGACCCACTATTGTTTTATCTAAGTAGATCCACTTGCTTTAAATATAAGAAATAGTAAAAGTAAGAATTTCCAGACATTAAGTTTATTATACTCGAGCCACCTTAAACTCTGTAATAGATTCCCTTCGCCACTATACTTCAGTATCATCTAATTAGCAATGACCTAGACTTGACTTGACTACAAATTATGACTTTCCAGACGTTTGACATGTGATGATTATCATATTGATGCTCCTGGTATCACTTTGATTGTGTTGTTTTAACTCGATGTTTGTCTTTTTGCACATTAACATGAGTTATTTTTAACAGTATGCATAATAATGCTATACATTGGGTAAGTATAAATTTAAAGTAGCATAACAGTTTGTTCTTACCAACGAAACAACCTTTTTTGGGTGGGGTGTTGGTTTTAATTCAGTCAGAACCTAAAATATTGGACTTTTTTCTTCTGATATCCTACGAAGTAAAAATCAGTATTTGCTAGCTCCATATATAAAGCTATGCAGATATATAGATGAAATACAAGGAAACTTGTCTGTAGTCGTTAATACCACTTCAAAGAAATATACAATGTCAAAGGCAATCAGACTTGATTGATATCCTTAAAATTGAATGCAAATTCATCTTGCCACATAAATTCTCTGTCAACTTGCTATGCTATGCTCCGGAATATGAATTTTAGGGGAGAGAGGTATTTATGTACAGCTTTTTCCGTCGGTTTTGTTGTTGTTCGAATCACAGTTCCCTGGTGAAATGACAAGAATCAACAGATAACAAAGTTGTCAAATTACCAAATTTTATAAGGAAGTTATTAAACCAAAAGTTCCAATTAGTGAAGTTGAAATCATCCCTTCGTAAATTTTACCGACGCCATCACGAGTTGGTTACGAGTTGGTTGACCGTTATGGAACATTTGTTTCACAGATGACAAAGGATAATTTTCCAATTGTCGTACCCATCACCCCGTCCTCTTTTCCCCGAACGTGACCTACCGAATTAGACTTATCACAGGGTTTTAACTTACATGAGCAACACGGCGGTTGCCACATGTGGAGAAGGGTCTGCTAACCCTTCCGGAGCACCTTATTTCACCCCAGTTTTTTTGGTGAGGTTCGTGTTTCTCAGTCTTTAGTTTTCTATTTTGTATTATGTGTACAGTTGTATGTCTGTTGGTCTTTTTTTCTTTTTTAGCAATGGCGTGGCAGTTTATTTTCGACTTATGAATTTGAATGTCTCTTTGGTATCTTTCGCCTCTCTTTTATAGTGGTTTTTGTTTATTTCATCCTGAATATGCATTCAAATTGCCACTGAACGTTAAACAGTCCTTCATCATCAACTCCTTGGCTAACATTGTAAGGATTGACCTGAAAGGATGTTACAAAAAAATGACATTTTCGTGATGGCATATTATTTGTTTGGAGTAGTTAGTGAAAGCTACGTATAACTCAGCATGTCCATCTACCGTGAATATTTAACAATTAAACATGAATATTGTTGCACTCCACCAAAAAGTAGTTCGGTGCCACTAGTGGGTTTGCTGTCCAATGTTTAAATGCCTGTGCAGTCTTTTCTGATACTATTTCTGTTCGTCTTTTTCTCAATCCCATGGTGTTGTCAGCCCTTTAATCGACTTAAGATTTGGATTGCTCCCATAGTATATTCTTAAATGTCATTTACAGAATTTATCTTATAATGCTTCTGATTTATGTATCTTTTTCATCTGCATTAGTTCATATAAATTGTATCATGTATTTAGTATTTAAATGTGTAAAACAACAAAGAAATAAGGCGAAATATGTTTAATCTGTTTTGTTTGTATCACTGATACAATTTGAATAAAAAAGTTAACGTATTCACAAGACCACAAATTAACTTGTCGTGTTTTCATAAAAAAAACATTGAGCATGAAAACAGTGCATGAACAAAAGTATCTTTTAATTAAAAAATTACAATATAAAATATTGCACGCATCATTTACATTTTAGCAAATAGACACAACACATAAACAAATATTTTTTGTCATCTATTTTCTTAACAGGCCTCCCATAATTATTTAATTACAAAATAGTAGGAACATAAAAATATCATCATTTCTCTAAATCAAGTCCAATGTGTAAAACAAATCACACGATAGTAATGCATACAGAAAGACAATTTAACTGTTTATTTTGGGACTAATTTTCTGAAAAGAACTTTTAATTGACAGGTAAACAAAACAAATGTTTTGTTAACGAAACATATTATTAAATTTGTTAACTATTTATTTTAACTAAAAACAAAACACGTATAAAGTAACATTTCTTGTGAAATCTATTTATCTTGTTGAAGCGTGATACAATATATTAATAAATTGTTTCGGATAAGGATAATATGGTGGGCTTAACAATGTATAACATATAAATTTCCAAAAAAATGTTTTTGACATAAGTGAGTCTCGGGTAACATTTCCACTTGCACTTTTTAACATTTAATGTAAACTGTACACATTTTAACACTCGAATATGAAATATCGTTGTGAAGTTACTGAATTTTCCCTATATTTAGGTATTTGTGCATTACAGAAACTATTTGAAACTATGACATTCTTTCACTCTCATCACCACTGGTAGTCTATTCCGGTGCCTTGTCTGCAAAAGTGTCGAACACAATTGGTTTACAAATTATGATTAAAAATAATTAATAAGTCCAGTATTTCATTTAAGTATTGGAATAAAAATTATGCTATCAATTTCATATTTCACGACATTTTTGTGCTCCAACTAACAACAGATGTAACCGTGCTCCCTCAATAGTACATAAATTATAATCTTAAAATGTCATTTTTATATGAAAATCGTCTAAATTTCTTAACAATAAAGAATTGTCTTGTTCAGTCTTTAGGTCAATTTTCAGACGTATCCACTGCGGTAAATTCAGTACTGTTCAGACAATTTCCTTGTAGACAATTCAGTACTGTTCAGTAGCTTTTCAGACAATTAAGTATGTCATGGATATGTACCGATAAAATTCAAACACTGAACAGATCTAAATTGACTGCAAACGAATTTTCTGAACAGTACTGAATGTACCACAGTAGATAAGACAGAACATTAACTAAAAGACTAAAAATGATTAAATGTATTATTGTTGAGACTTTTAAGAGCTGTTCAGATCAAAACCGGTTTAAAAGTGCCTGGTAATAGTTTGATAGTTCGATAGCTGTGACAGAGTAGCTGATGTGCGTTGTTATCAAGAAATATCATTGATTATGTCATTTTCTCTTCTAACATGAACAGTGCCAATTTTACCGGACCTGATGCGCATATATTTACCTTTCTGGAATGATAAAATAGTTTGAAACACGAAGGTTTTTTTATTTAGTGCATTAGTCCGATTTGTCAATTTTTTTTACAATTTTGGTTTCAAAAAGCGTTTCAACTTCGTGATTCATTAGGCCTACAGATTTTTTGTATTCGATCGCCAATAATGAGTAATGAAGACATATAGGTCTGGCGTAATTATTTATGAACCTTGTATTTTTATGAGTATTTTGTCAAATAAGCCATAGTAACACCAATATATAAACTGAAAACTGTAGTCGATATCGACGAAGTGGTGGTTAAAGTACATGAACGATTTCTGAACATATGGTTCTAGAATATCCTAAATATGGTTCTCTCGAAACTCAAATGATTTTCAATATTAGAGAGCTGAGTAAGATTTTGTTTGAAAACTTACTACACACACACTGTTCTGGACAGAATTCAGCCAGCATATCTCGTTCATCTTGATCATCTGTTAAGCAGTTTTCTGGAGTAACAGTCCCACATATATCATAATCTAAGTACTGTTCTGGATTCTGGCAAGGCTCTAAAATAACCAAATTCATAATGGGTTTTATATTTGCTTCATCTCTGGACCCTCAAAGTGATTCAGAAAAGTAATCTTTAACTCATTGCTTTAAATATATTACTAAATTAATAAAATAAACTTTACCAGGCATCAATTCGAGCGTAATCTCATATTGATAATAAAATGATATTACAGCCAGAAAATATCAAAGATAAAATAAAAAAGCTCCTTCAACACACAAAACAATGAAAAAAGAGAAAAAAGATAACCGTTCAAATATGATGTACAAGTATTTTGAATAACAGATCTTTGGAAGGGGTGACGTTTGGATTTTAAGTCGACCACTTTAATTCATAGCCTGATAATTTAATACAACATAATAAAACTACAATCAAGCAAACTAAGACATGGCATCATTAAGACATTTGTAAGAACCCTGACATGGTAAACCAGTATTAATACTAAGGCTGAAATGGGCAAGGCAAGTTGTGAACCGCAATAATACATTTTGAACCACTTCTTAGCCAAAAGGACCAATGATGAAGTGGTATCTACTTAAAAAGTAATTTAAAAAAAAAACCTATAATATGGCATCAGACTAATCGATTGCATATAATTTTCTCCCTCGTAGATTTTTAAAAAAGTGATATTGTGATAAAAATTATCCCCACAAATCACTTTTTTCGGATAAAAGGAGTTGCCAATCTTTAAAGCAATTTCAAAAGAAGCCATCCTGTATCTTTGTCAAATTAATACTACTGGGATCCGGCTACGAGTAACGGTTATTTGTAGAAAGGCTAGAGCATTGATATTTTTGATTTATTTATCAATTTGGCATATCGACCATCAATACCATAAACCGACTAATCCTGCTTACTTACATAATAATTACTTGGATTTTATATTGGTTATGCCTATCAATAAGTAACTATATTTCGTTTCTCTCATTAAAGAAACTAAGAATTTTAGACGGGTTGCATGTGTTGAATATATCCATAAGACAGGTTTCAACAATACAAGAATTCTTAAATATACGAGATTTGAACATCGTTTAACTAATATCTCTCTAAATTTGTTCTGTCTCTTCTACAATAGAACTCTCGGAAGTATTTACATGAAAAACTGCTGAATCACAATTGTGTTTAAAAAAGGGTGTTACAATAAAGTGACCAGCTTCAGGTAAACACTTCGTAAAAAGAAGAAAACTACTTCGGAAAGATTTGCGATTTATTACCACTTGAAGGATTCTAAACTATCAAGTTTTCAAAACATTTTACGACATTCAACTAACAAGTATTCAAAAATCTGAAAAAAAGGTTATCGTCTATGTTAAAGGAAGGTAGCATACAATAAATTACATGACATAATTTAGAAAGATGACTGGAGTTTTATTAAAGTCTGCTTACCATCACAGTTCGGACCCATTCCATATTCACAGTTACATGTACACGTTGTACTGTTCAGATGTCCATATCCAAGACCAGGCTTGCCACATGATTTCCTACAATCTAAATAATTTTCTGTCTAAAAATAACTGTTTACATGGACAGTCTTTTGCACCTTTTACCTGGATTGTCAGTATCTGTGATTTACATGCTTTGAACACAAATGAAAAGTATATCTAGTGTACACATCAATGAGGCAGCAGCCCAAGGAAAAATATAACCAAGAAGACATCTAAAGGTCAAGGATTATGTTGTGTGAATTTTACATTTTCTAACGGTCCCCAAAGGCAGACCTCGTGTTAACTGTGTATAAATAACAAACATTGACAGTTCAGAAATAAGTTAAAACGATGTTCGATGTCACACAAGTTATTTTATCAGCAATCAAAGTTATTGAGAAACTACCTACTATAGGGGTGGCGTGAACCAGATGTGGAGACTTAAAATATTGCAAAGATCTTTTACAGTACATACAATCCAAGTCTCTTTCCTCTTGCAATAGTAATAAAACATTTGACGTTCTACCCTTTAAACAAGTATCGATCATTCCAAACTATTAGACAAATTGAAAGAATTGGTCCTGCTTTGTTTCATAAAAAAAGAATAGCCAACGTAGATACAAGTATCTTGTTTTAGGCAGGAATAAATCGTACTTTGTAAAACAAATCACTCTGATTCCAACAAAAAGTTCTCTGAAACTGACATTATAAAGATGCTTGATTTCTTGATTGACAACATATGTGTTACGTTTGTAGGACGTGTTTTTTAAACAATCAATCGGCAACCAAATGTGTTCCTCTTCTTGCCAGCTTGTTCCTTTATTCTTATGAGGCTGACTTCATTCAGATCTTCTTTCGACGAATGCAAAGAAGCTAGCATTGTTCTTTAACGTTACGTTCCGCTATATAATGATGTCTTCTCACTAAACAATTCAAAGTTTGGTGACCGTCATGAACGCATCTTTCCAATCGAACTTAAAATAAAGGAAACAACAGATACATATGCCTCATATCTTGATCTACTCTAGAAATTGACAATGAGGGTCAGTTGAGAACAAAACTAACGACAAAAGAGATAATTCAAACTTCCCAATTGTGAACGTTCCATTTCTTTTTAGCAACATTCCACCAGCGCCTGCACATGGAGTATATATCTCCCAGTTGATACGATATTCCAGAGCTTTCCTATCACGGTTTCCTTGATAGAGGGTTGCTGCTTACAAAAAAACTATTAAACCAAGAGTTCAAAGTGGTGAAGTTGAAAACATTCCTTCGAAAATTTTACGAACGCCATCACAAGTTGGTTGACCGATATGAAATTTCTGTTTCGCAAATGACGACGGATATGTCGTAACCTCAATTCCGTCTCTTTTCGTCGAACGTGGTCTACCGAATAAGACTTGTCACCGGTTTGTACTTACATGAGCATCACGACGGGTTCCACATCTAGAGCAGGATATGCTTACCCTTCCGGATCACCTGAGATCACCCCAGTTTTTTTGTTTGTGGGGTTGGGGTAGCTCAGTCTTAAGTTTCCTATGTTGTGTTCTATGTACAGTTGTTTGACTTCTTTTTTTCCGTTTTTTGCCATGGCATTGTTAATTTTGTTTTGGTTTATGAGTTTGAATAGCCCTTTGGTATCTGTCGCCTTTCTTTTATGGAAAGTTGTGTATATTCATAAAATCAATGCCAATTTTCTGTTCAGCCTTATAGAGCAGCCCATGTTTATATTATTTCTCTTATAAATAAACGACACAAGTCAGCAAAAAGAGAAGCATAATTTGTTTCCATAGGAATGCCTAATGTATGATGAGGAACACGTTAATCAATTCAGTTGTGCTGTCAACATAATAATATTATATATAACTATCGACACCGACTTATTGTTTTCCCTCTCATTCATATCTTTATGATCACATGTATTTTGCAATCGTTCTACGTTCAAATGTATAAAACAATAAGTAATAAAAAACTGCAATTCATTTTCATTTTTGTCATAAATTATATGATCTTACTCGAGGTGAGCAGGCTACCACGAGAGCACTGAGGCGATACATAAGGATGACATGACATAATTAGATAAAACTGTTTGTATAAAACTGTTTGTATAAAACTGCATAAATATGTCCAAAATATGTCCAAATGAACATGAGGAGATGTTTTATAATTGCCAATGAGACAACTATCCACCAAAGACCAAATACAAACGTAAACAAATGTTTTACTATAATATAACAAATTCCTATAAAACTGTTTTATTTTAGGGAATGTGTAGTGAAAAAAGAGTTCCCTTTGCACATCAAAGTATGAACTATTCAAGACATGAAGAAAGCTAGATGTTTGAATGGTGGCAATATAATTAATTATGGTATTTCTCTATTTCCTATATAATAATAGAATAACACAAATTAAATAATTCTACCGAGGAGGTAATATTAGATTCTACTAAAATAGTTGATTGTTAGATTTGTTTATGTTCTCATATATCTTTAAATGGATAATCGTGATAAACAAAAGACTGGCGTTTTGTATTATTCCCATTCAATGTCAAATGAATAATTAAAAATACTTTTACCACCTACCACAATTCTGATTTGATGAACTGCAAGAAACTGAAAAAGGAAAAAAATCAATGTATAGACATTTCCTATTGGGATGTAATTTCCTCAATAAGGTTTTAAGTATATCATATTTCCTCTAATTATATATTATATATGAATATAAAAAGAGATGTGGTAAGAGAGAACTTTCAATCAAAAACAAAATAGACGAGAAAGATATTGTACAGATCTCAAGGTGACTACCCGACTATTAGAAATATGCAAAGTCACATACATGTAAATACGATCATTAGATGCTTTATTGCTAAAAGATTTACATGTGATTTTGGAAGTTGGAAAGACACAACCAAAGGCCTTATTAGATTCAACGAATAAACAACTAGAACGAAACATATATGGTATCCACAAGTATCATAAATCGTTTCATACGGGCCCAGGCTATTTATTAAAACACTTGTACAAACAAATGACTGACTGGAAAATAAGTTATGCTAAATTAGCATGATTCATGAAATACTATTTCAACACATTCCAAATTGAACCTTTCAGATACAATTATCTTACAATATGTACAATTGTTTTAGGAATATGCTCCCCACTTGAATATTTTGATAACCATATCTAATATAATTATTAAACGTATTTTTGGAGGTCATACTAACTTGGCCCGACAAAAATAATTTTGCAGCAACTGCTTTGAGCCATTTCAGAAAAAGTCTTAAAGCTACAATTATAGGTATAATACTTACCACATAGTCCACGATCACAAAAGGTTTCCTCTTCTGTACACTTTGAACATGGCTGACCTGATTTATACGGACTCAAAATATCCTGCCTGAAGAATATATATCATAAGTCATGGTTTACTACTGACCCTACGGGTCCATAGAGGATTACTAAAATCCAAAGGCGGTGATGCCGAAACAACGGATCCATATAGAGGGTTAGTAATATCCATAGGAGGTGAGGCTGACGACCGAATCCCTTATGGATTTTATTAACCCTGCATGGATCCGTTGTGGACCGTTTAACCAATTTATTGCACACGGGACTTTTCCTGTCAAGTTTTGTGTAAAAATAAACAATGGAATACAATAACATTTATAGATGACGTCACCATTAAAAGTAGACGTGAAGTCATGAACCCCATATGATTAGAAAACTACTGACCCTATACGGATCCATAAGGGGTCACCACGTGACAGCTTTAAACCAATCATAACGTCACTAATTTACCCGAGGTGCGATAAATTTCAATATGAATGAAATGGCGTCGTAGTTCAACTGTAATGCGGTGGCATCCCAACAACGAGCTATTCCGAAAATGTTAATTTTATTACATATCAAATTAATTGAACAAAATTGCAAGGTTATAGAATGTCTTGATAAGTTTATCAAATGAGATATTACGCGAGTATTACTGAAATTTGTCAGAAGAACAATTTTGATGACCACAGTTGATACCGGCATAAAATGTTGGGGTTACTATAGAAAACAAATCGAAGTCAAATAACATAAACGGTACCAATTTTACTGCACCAGATGTACATTTCGACAATTAATTTTTCTTCAGTGATGCTCGTGACCAAAACAAAACATCTATCGAATATTTGATAAAAGTTTCCTGTAAAAACAGTTCCTCGACGAAAACTAGATTTGTATGGCTGTGATACATTCATACTGATATATGTCTATATTTCTGTTTCTACATATCATCCTTTCAAATAAAACTCCTTACCCGCCTTCATACTGACACATCAAAACAAAACTTTCGGTGTTATTTATAGGACATGTGACAGCACTGCAACCCACTTTTCTTTGCTTTGAGTTTATAAGCTGAAACATAAAATATTAAAACACGTGTAACTATCCGCTGTTCTTTTATTCTTTTTTTTTAATTAAAGAAAAAATAAAATACATGTCAAATATTCTTGGCAAGTTTAAGATACAAACACTGTTAAATATAAATTATTGGAAGTCGTAGGTAAGCTAAGTCTCATAGAGAGAAAATATAAATTTTACAGTTACTGATCTGCATCTCAATTTAGGGTTCAACTCCATAAAGACCAAACTAAACATTTCATTTAGTAGTAAAAGCAAAGACTTAGCGTGTCGGTCTAGTGCAAAACATCTTCATTTCACATCAATATGCTCTTGTCCTGATATGCATATAATATTTGCCATAGGACGTTAAACACCAATCTATCTATTTACAGTTGGAATAAGTTCTAACCTCTTAAAATCTGCTATGAACTGATCTAGAACATTCTGTAGAGCAGTTCATCTGGCACCTTTAGAACAGTTTTGGACAGTTCTGTATATTTCTATTTACTAAGTATTAGCCCCCCCCCCCCCGCCCCTTTTTTCCAAAATCCGTTATTGTTTGTTTTCTGTTAATTTATATGAATAAACACTATAAATAAAGTGAATTTGCTATTAACTATCAATTCCAAGTTTACTATCTACGGCGTTCACTGATATATTATATAGAGAGACCTATGAAAAGTATGTGTAATTTTAAACAGTCCTAAACGGAAGTTTTGTCTGACTCAAAAGTCCGTCCGATGACGGAAACAATATCCGGACGCCTTTATTTTCGTTTTCCTCCCAAAATAACCTTAAACGGAATAATCATAAGCGAGGATGACAAATGCGACTATGCATGGTACCTTTAGGACACAGATGCATGCTGATTAATTTATTGTGGAAAGAAGAGAAGCGACACACAAAATGAGGTCTTCTCGTTTAATAGTATAGATTTGTCACTGATGACGTCGATAATGTGAAGTTAAATTTGCTATTATTACTAGTGCAACAATATCAAATAATGCATGCTAACTTTTGGTTCCAGTATTTTTAAGGAATTTTAGGAATTTAAGTTTTACGGTTGTAAGACAACAAAACAGTATGATACTATAGATATATAAACTGACCCTTCACATTTTAATTTAGATCAAATTTTAAATACAGTCTATACAAGTGATTGCATAAGATAAGGAAGATATATAATAAAATATACTGCTTACCGTCAAAAACCGCTTACAGTTGTTCAAAAACAGACAGGTTTTAAATTTCGGCAGGAAAGTACGTATTTCAATAAACCATGACCGAATTATATGGGAATAATTTCTACGAAAGGAAGATCCGATATTAATTGAAATATCAGAAGATCTCGATAGTGCATTCATTCTATCACATTGTAATATTCTACTTGATTTTTCCTGCAATTCAAAACTCCATTCCTGAAGAAAAATTATAACATTAGCAAGTTTAACGCAGATATCAATATCTGAAACCTCGATAAAAATTTGGAATATCTTGAATGATACATATCTGATAAGATTTTAAATCGTGTTCATCAATTGAAATATAAATACATTTGTAGCGTGAATGTCTGTTTTATTTTTGGTTAATTGCTTAATGTGTTCTTACTATGAAATCAAATAAAACAACTTCATTAATGAAAATTGCAATAATAAATCGTCAACGCTTTGACTAAACCATTAATTCATGAATAATAAGCCGTCATTTTAAAATGTATATACTGCAGTCTAATGAATGATTTAATGAAAGAAGCCTGATGACACAATCTATTAATTCATTATATATTATATCAATATAATTAATATTCTGGGAATTGATAACGAGATAAACAATTGGTCTAATCAAGGAATTATTAGACGTCTGTGTTATTTCTAAGGTCTAATACCATGAATACTCTGTTGTTAAACTGAAAGTTCGCCAAATTTGAATTGAAAATATGAAAATATGGTGTGTGATTGACGTTCGTTTTGTTGTGTTAGTCTCTCTACTCGTGACCGTTGCCGATAAGTATTTTGCGATGCTTCGTTTTAATATTTTAAACAGGAATGATGCTGCATGGCGCTTCCTGAAAGAGAATTTTGGCGATGGTCAGTTGAAAAATAGGTTGCACAGAATTTCACATTTTGTAAGTCAGAGATATTTTGTTAAAGAACTGATACAACAACCTAACAACAAAGAGTAAACGTTTACAACGGTTCATTAATATGCAGAAGGAACACCAGCCGACAGTAAGATCCGTCCGGTTTAAATGTAGATGTTTTCAAATATCCCCATTGGGAGTGCAAACCAAATTCATTCCCTTACCCATTAGACCCTCCTTTTCGTGTGGTAGTTCAAATGTCCTATCTTTTGTTAAAAACAATTATACATTTTCCACTGGACGTCAAGCAAACAAAAATCAATCAATCAATCAATCTTATAACTGTCATTACGTTGTATTTAACAACATCTGATCAGACGTTGGTTGCGTATTTATATATTCTGCTCAAAACAGAATTCCCTTTCAGAATTAGTTCTATTCATGGATTTGATAACATTCATAAACTCACAATCATATATGTAAGAATGGTTTGTTTCGAAGACGTTGAACATTGCGCCCAATTTAGGCTAGAATATAATAGATTATCTTCATATAAGAAATTTGAACTTATTGTTACTAGCATTTGCGATTTAAAATTAAAGCAAAATTACCAATTTTTTCATGTCTGCTACAAATACATTGTAGGCTCCATTGGCAAACAAACGTCTGTATAAATTGTGTGTCGTTAAAATTTGATTTATCTCGTTTGGATGTAGAGCTGCTTCATTTTGTGATGTGATCAGAAGAAGAATCCCTGAAATCAAACAGTACATGTATGGTTAAATTTGTACCCTATGTTGTATAACACAATATATATTTAAAACAGTGACCATAAAATTCCTTATATTTCGAAAAAACCATTAAAAATTGAAAAATGGAGTATTCCTCTGTAAAATAGACGAAACAAACCAGTATCTTATTACCTGAATAGCGGAAGTACAATGAACTTTTGGAGACGGTGTATATAGTGTTACTTAAGAACAGGAGACGGTGTATATAGTGTTACTTAAGAACAGGAGACGGTGTATATAGTGTTACTTAAGAACAGGAAAACACTTCGTTTGTCATAGGTCTACTTTTCAGATGCCCGTTAACATAAATTTAATTGAAACTAGATGTCATACATTATTTCATAGTAAAATTATAAGAATTTGAATGGATTTTTTTGTCGTATTAGGAAGTTTTATTTACCAATAACATAAAACGATACTTTTGATTGTTTGTATTGCATTAGCACTACCTTTAAAGTCGAAATGGCAGAATGTACCGCTCTCCCGCAGAAGACAGTTGTTTATATTTCCGTTATATTGACCAAGTTGTAGTAGCTATGGATTATTAAAGCACTAATTTCGACTTCAATTTAAGGAGGAGTGTCCCCTTCATCTGCATCTTTGTTGGACAGATGAACTAATTTGAACCAAGATACTGAATACTTTTTCAATGGACTTGCTGTTTTGTGTTTGTATTTTTTTTTTCATGTTCTTTAATGAAAATTGGTCGTCAGGAAAAAAAGTTTTCAAAGAAGGCTTGCAGGTGCCGAATTTAACTGACGTCGAAAGAAGTGCTTAGATAATTCATAGCTACTAGTACTTTTATCAATATAACAGAAGTATAAACAACTGTCAAACATGTGGGAGCTAGGTATAAAACCAGGTTTAACCAACCATTTTCTCTGTCAAAATGAATGTACCAAGCCAGGAATATGACAGTTGTTTTCCATTCGTTTCGTTTGTTGATAAAGTTGAGCGTTTGATTTTGTAATGATTTATGAACTTCTCCCTTTTTTAATTTACCTTACAGGTCGGTATTTTTGTTCACACTTTTTTTTAATGAGACCATCTCATTGTCCATACGTCCCTCAATTCGCAAAGAAAGATCGAAATAGTGTGTATCAACGTTGAGCTTATCAAATCAGTACACAGGAGATTTTAAATATACGCTAGTTGTAAAGTGATCCCGATTTGGCGGCAATGTTTGGAATTAAAATTTGTTTTCTTATGTGGTAAAGAATCGGAAGATAAAAAATGATTGTTATTTTTAATAACTAGATGTTACATACAATTAGCATCATAGCAATACTTCGTTTTGACTTAAAAATTTGCTGATCTTATTTTAAACTAAACTGAGTGTCTCCTAAATAGTTCTTGTCTAACCTAAAGCATTCACAAATTGCAAGCATTTAATGTTTCTTTCCTAATGACATCACTGATTTATAAAACATCGATTCATCAAAATGTTCTTGTCCTTGACAAATGTGATAGCTCGGAATGAAAACATTTGTTCTAGAAACCAAGATACAAGAACATTACCAAAAGACGATCATAGAAATTAATATTAGTATAATGTTATTAGACCTACATTCCCCGCTCGCATTTTCACGATTCCATGTTTATTGAAGCATGAAATCTTGATCAAGATCCTTATTTGGTACATTTCATTAGTCACTTAATAAGGAACATGTGTACTAAATTTCAAGTTGATGTGACCACAAACTACCTTAAGCCAACTGTTTAGCCCACGTTTAAGGTTCATCTATACACTTTAACAAAAATGGCTGTCGTTACACCATGAAATTTTCTCTGAGTACAGACAAAACTGTAATTTTAAAAGTTTTAATGCCTGGCAGCACCTAGATAAATTAATGTTACATCCAATTTATGTTCTAAAAAGTTAAAACACTTTATGGATTTTGATGAACATTTTCTTTGTTTGCCACAGAAGATGGTGAAATAAACAAACACCCGAGTTTTCTTTGATACAGTCCACTCATTTACACTATTTAAATCACCTTTGTTGTGAGTAGATTTCTATTGTCCATATCAATCAATATGAGGGGGGCCATCTCAAAGATTTCACATGACTTTGTTTATTTTTACACCATCTGTGGCAAGGAAAGAAAATGTTTAGCAAAATCCACAAAAGTTTTTTTCTTTTTAAAACACAAAATGAATACAACTTGTATATATCTAGGTGCTACCAGGATTTAAAACTATTAGAATTACACAGTTTTGTCTGCATGCAGAGAAAATTTCATGGTGTAAACACAGCCATTTTTGTGGAAGTGTATAGATGAACCTTAACCAAAACTTGGACCTTTTTAACTGTGAACTGTAAAATCTGTTCAAAACCTTAATTTGGCATATATATTTAAAAAACAGCTCACTTCATCACGAACATGTGTATTAAGTTTCAAGTTGTTGTGAGAAGAAAAAAATCCTTAACCGAAACTCTACCCTATCTTAAACCAAAACTTTAACCTGAAACGGGACGGACGGACCCGTAGACTGAATTAATAATATAATGCCCTCTACTATCGTAGGCGGGGCATAAAGATGAAATATCTCAAAATATAGAAACAGTAGTAAAACAAACACAAAACCATGAATTTTGATTACAATCAACACATGCATGACAGCATAGATGATGCACATTCGGTGTGCTACGATATTTCTCCACTCGAGACAGTTAAATTTTTAAATTTAAAACGCGAGGCTTGCCGAGCTTTTTGTATATTTATAATTTAATTGTTGAGAGTGGAAAAATGTCATAATGCACGAGATATAGTGTTGGAATCTGTTTATCTAAAGATTTTAAGACGATATATAAATAGGTTTATCCTTCCTTTTCAAAGATTTGCAGAAAGTTGTGTTCTTTATATGTGACGTCATCAGGCATAGTTGCCTTTTTTCATGACGTCACAATAGGAAATTCAGAAGAAATCAAGAAAATTTGATGTCATAATTGAAATTTCGACCAATCATTAATTTTGCCGAGAACAAAGTTTTCTCTAGAGTGGAGAAATATATTTCTCACACCGATCGAGAAATGTGAATATAGCATGAAAATTAGAGAATCTTGAATTAGAAACATAAATTAAAATATACATGGAGCATTTGTTTCGGTATCATTATTTCGAATGTTTTATATGACTTTCTGATATTCCATCGTATTTTTACCAGAGTGAAAAATAAGTTAAAATGACGTTTTATGATTTCTGATGAACATTGAAAGAAATTGCATTATGTATAGAACATTCCTGTTGTTTTTAAGTTCTTTGATATTTTTAAAACTCCAGAAATTATTATTTTTGCATCTTTTTTACATATGTTTCTTATTTTGTCCAACAAAGGGTTGTTTTTTTAAGTTTGTTATATTTATGTTCGAAATGCGCACATCCAATGCTAGTAAAACTTGCCTAATTCTGCATATATTTCTATCAAAAAGATACTTTTCAAAAGCAAAAT